GGTAAGAATTTGATTGTAATTGATGAGGGTGTGTTGGGGATTACAGAATAGAGAATAATGGGCAAAACATAAAGAATAGAGAAAAATGGACTAAAACATTATTAAAGATTAGAGAATACAGAGGTGCTACAATATAAAAATGGAGAATAATGGGCAAAAAGTATAAAGAATACAGAAAAATGGCATAAAAATTAAAGAATTCAGAAATAAGGACCCCAACCAGACCATCATTGATCGTGCTTATCAATTAAGTTACATATAACAATACTGTTATATTTTGAGATATATCTCTCCCTCTTTTGAATTGATGGAGCCTTGTATTTTCACAAGGAAACGTTAATGCTGTACTATACAATGTACTTATTGACGTACCTGTACACGAACCTAACCCGGAAGTAAGTTTATATCCTGTCCCTACTACATGCAAAAAGTTACATAACACTTTTTAATCCCTCCAGTCAACAATATTCTCGGACATTTGTGTAATGAAATCATATAACAAATTGATTGAAGTCATACGACACAGTGTGCACGGTGTATTTCAGGTTTTTTCTTACCTGGTGTCTTTGTTCTGTTGCTATCGGCCATACGCCCACTTCAACAACAGCCTGAACAGGGGCGTGTTTTTTTGTTCTTCGGTAGTGAGCCAGAAGAGGTCCATTTCTGTTTTTTTGCATAGAGAAGATCTTCTGGCTCTCTTTCACCTCTTCTTTTTTGATAGGTAGTTTAGACGGCAGAGGCACATAACAAACATGGCGTCGTTTAGTCTAAATGACATTGATAAATTTATGAATACAGATATATTATTTAGAATGTGAGCTGTGTTATAAACGTTTTTATGGTATGACAGTCTTAGTAGGACATCCCTGTAGGACGATAAGCTGGATAATATAAGAACTACACGGACAATAACAGTTAAGGGACGACAATGAGTCGAGACATGAACCAACGACAACCACTAAACTACAGGCTCCTGACTTGGGACAGGCACACAAAGAATATGGCAGGGTTGATATAAAAACGAAGATTGTCAATGAGACAACCCTCCACAAGAGACTAAATGACACAGCAATTAACAGCTATAGGTCACCATACGGCCTTCAACAATAAGCAAAGCCCATACCGCATAGTCAGCTATAAAAGGCCCCGAAATCACAAATGTAAAACAATTCAAACGAGAAAACTAACGGTCTAATTAATGTACAAAAAAATGAACGAAAAACAAATATGTAACAAAGCAATAAACGACAACCACTGAATTACAGGCTCCCGACTTGGGACAGGCACATACATACAGAATGTGGCGGGGTTAAACATGTTACATTTGTAGCGGGATCCGGCCCAACCCGCCCCCTAACCTGGGACAGTGGTGTAACAGTACAAGAACATGTTTGTGAGCGCTCAACCCTCCCCGAAGCTGGGACAGTGGTGTAATAGTACAATATAAGAACAACCTGCACAAATCAATTGCAATAAGATTAACTCAAAAAATCGGTACGAGACACACAAAAAAAACTTACATTAAGACAATAGACACAAAGCACCGAAATAAGAGTATTTGCAATTACTGGAAAATTATTTAAAGCTAATTACAACTAGTACTGAAATAAATCTTGTTCTCCCAGACTGAAGTATCAATCAGTACACAACCAACGGATTTATTAAAAAAAAAAGAATAAAAAGAGTCTGAGAAATGTCTGGTATACATTGTATACTTGCATATGAAGATCCATATACAATGAAAATTTTTGAAAAGTGGTGGTCCGAAGGTTTTGACCATCGAAATTTTGCAATAGAAATAATAGTTAGGACCAGAAGATTTTCTTCAAGGACCACCAGAGAAAAATGATTTTGAGAACTTTCCGATATCTTTGCTTTATACAAAAATAATCCAGTTTGGTTACTTAAAAAAAAATTGGATAGACAAGATGTCCTTTTTGATCATATTCGAGACAAACATTGACGAATTTTTGTGCAGTTTAAGATTGTTCTTAAATCAAATAGTGATTTGTCTAGCAAAATTGAGTTAGAAGAAAGAACAAAGAAAAATGTCACGGACAGAGCACACTTTTACAGTCATGTCTACCGGACGTATCTTAATTTTCTATAAAATCATCGTAAACTTCATTTATGTCACCCAACATAACAAAATTCTGCTATATTCGACGGCAAATTGAATTTTTATTTTTTTGATCTTCCGTAGAATATCTCCAGAAGAGGTCCTGATTCATTTTTTTGGACTCTTCACCAGAAGACATTCTGGAGATGTGCAGAAGAGACCAATAAAACACGCCCCAGGTCGATCGATATTTCGTGTAACTAAATGTAAGAAGAATTTCGAAAAAGCGAATTTACGAAACGATTTTGTAGTGTAACATGCATTCATTTCTTTTGTTTTATCAGAACTTTCGTTGTCTAGCAAAAGAAGATGACGATGGACCTGTAACTTTTGAATCCAATGTAATCGTGTGTAGTTGTTTCCTTTTAAAAGTGTTTCAATATTAATACCAAAATATGCAATCCTTAATGACCTGACAACAGTATCGTAACTATATCCTTTCCGAATAAGTCTGTTTAAAGGATTTCTAAATCATTTTCGACAGAAAGGCTAATTGAGATTCAATAATTGAGCGTCGTTGTTGACCTGAACTTCTTGAGTTCTTATAGTCTACGTCGACACAAAAAATAATAAAAAAGACTAGAAGGAATGTTATTAAAGTCTGAAAATTACACCCAACAGTGTTAGAATTAGACTTTTATGCTGACAAATTTTTGTCCCTCAACGGGATTCGAACTCACACCTTTGATACACTACAGCACCAATCGCTTAGCCTCATGTCCAGCGCTCTAGACCACACGACCACATCCGCTATATAAAAATATAACTTCAATAGTCGTAGTGTTACCTTGTCACGTAAGGCGAATCTAGAGATAGACATAAGACATGTGTTTTAAGCGTGTGAAGATGTTATATTATTATTTAATACACAATGTATTTGTTAATATATATATATGAAAAATAAAAACCGAACAATTACATGTTTAAAACAAATATATAATGCTGCTGTTTCTATTACTGTGTAGCATCACCACCGGATATATGTATCCCTATACGTAACCCTAAGCGGTGGAAAAAACAAGGTACGGTCAAATTCTTCTTGTTTTCATTATATTCTACGTTTTACTGACAAGTAAAGTTTTGAGATTGTGATTCCTAATAATGAAGCTATTATTTAGGGCTGATTATGATCCTTAATTGGTTTTCTCTCTCTTTTTAAAATCGTCAGAATCGGATGGGGTGGTACCTGTTCATCGAAGCATGTGACGAGTTCAAAATTGTTAAAACACATTTGTCCTTCAACTTTCCATTTGACGTTTTCGTAGAGCAAAGGTATGTCATATTTAAGCTTGAACAACACTGTATTTCGAAGTACACTATTGTTTACACAGAGAAATTCATGTAAATAAAGCGGATTAATTGTGCGGCGAATAGTTGTTTACTATACGGGAATTAGAATACTAAAAAAAAGTAGATACTTTTTGCTATTATTGTTTCTTTGCTTCGGGGGGTACCTTTATCCGGTTGTGATGCTACACAGTGTCTATTGTTTGCAACAAAAGTTGTGAAACATACATAACAATCCTGTGTCGAAATATTTTGTAGAACCTGCCTTTAGCGTTAATTGTTAATTTGCTATAGTCCTGAATATGCACGAAATGTTTGACATGAAGTTTTTAGCAAACATCAATCAATTTATCAATCATCCGGGATACTTGTCGGTAAACTCTAACTTCATATTTAACATGTATGATTTTGACTACACTTTTACATTTATACTGTTATTGTATATTTTGAATCATTGCAGTATAAAAGGATTAATAGATTCTGTCTGGAAACAACTTTCAACCAAAAGTGTTTATTTTATCTTTGTATTTAATATAAAATTCCTTAAGTATGCTCGGAAATAAAAGTGAAAGGTTATTTTTTTTTAATTTTAAGAAAGAAGCCAAGTACAAAGTAAAATACAAGTTTTTCTAAGGACAAACGAGTTAAAAGAGAAAGAAAAACTGATTTTTTTTGTATTACACAGAGTAACTTTAACTTGCTTTCAATAGCTATGACCGCATCGGTGGCCTCGAGTAACGTGCTCACCTCGAGTGCGTGATGCATTGAGTTCCATCCCGGACCGGTTTAAACCAAATATTTGCTGATTTCCTCTAATCACGTGGTATTTAGGAGAAAGAACAAGGTCTGATCAACCCGAAGTCGGAATGGTGTTTAAAGTCCGGCTAAGTGTGTTTGTCAAAGCAGGGTTCATTTTGATGATGATGATCATCATCATCGTCAGTAGCTATGGTTCCTTAATGCAGTGTTTTTATTACTCATTTATTTATAACTTTGTCGTCTCTAGAAGTAGTCAACAGTACTAGTTTAGCTCTCAAATCTCATAAATCGATTGGGAAGACAGATTAGGTCACAAACAAAAGAAGCGTGACCGGATGCGTCGACACGGTAGGCGGGTAAGCGTATCGTCCTATGCATTCATCGCCCACCATGAGAATCTTAGCACTATTTCTGGACATATCCTCTAGTTATCCCTTTTTTAATCGATTGATTGAAATTTTAAAACAACCACGTAGGCAACCCTCTATTAAGTAGCCAAAATCCGTGTTGAATTCATCTGTTTTTGTATGGATATCCCGTCATCAATTTTACAGTACTAAATCGCACAATGATATACGATTGACTTAACCGTTCAGGTGATCTCCCCCATGTTACAAACTACATTAAAAAAGTTATAAAAACATATCCTGTTTACAGTTTTTTTTTTTTATTTTGATTTGATAAAAAAAATGACAAATAAACATAAACATCCTTATACAACAACATCTCTCATGTAGAATGAATAAATAATTACTTTATGAATAGAAAGCTAAAGAATTACGTTATTGACATTTTATACTGACACTCATACCACATCTTCCTATATCTATTGTCAAGATGGAAGCTCGTATTGGACTAATGATGGTTTGTTTCTGTGTAACTATTACCCTTTTCGAAGTAATAGGAAAAAGTGAGTTTGAAATTTAATGTTCATTTGTTTGAAAAATGAATTGATTTGTCTGTATACACGTATTTCTTTAATCCTATTGTACATTTTGATTTAGAATGGTTTGTCATTAAACAAGAATTTTAAGAAGTCAAAAATATAATAATAAATAATATTGGCAAGCATTTTTCTTTTCTAGTTATCCTACAAACTGATATTAAAAATGTAATATATGCAAAATGCATTGATCTTTTAGAGGGAATTTAACAAATCTTCGGTCTAATTAGTTAAATTAACAAGCTAGAAATGTCATTTGCATTTTTTGAAACGCACGAATGATGTCATGTTAAATGTCATTTCCCACTCAATAAAGCATATTCCCAAAACTCATAAATTTTTCTTGGGGTTAATGATGTCACGATCATTGTTAGGTTCTTAATATGCAAATGCACGTTTACGACATAAAATCACTTTCAATTAATAACAAATAACTTTGCTTTGTTGGTATTTATATCATTAGGTATGCCGCGGTTGATTAATAGTTTCTATTTTGCCATTGATTATTAATATTAATTCAGAAATGACTTCTTGTAATACAAATTATTTTATTTTATTTTTCAAATCATTGTTAAGAATATTAATACGAGCTAGAATGCAACAAAACAATTAAAATTTCGTAACATTAAAATGAATTTTCAGTATTTTGTTTCTAAATTATGAATATATAGAATATGTCTCTCCTGATTTTATTTGTTTTGATGTGTTCATGTAAACACTCCTTTTTCTGTTTTTATATTTGTTTTGGTTGTTTCTTGTTATACGTGCAATTACGATACTGTTGTCAGGTCATTAAAGATTGCATATTTTGGCGTTAATATTGATTCACTTATAGGGTCTTTGCATCGGCACTAAACACATTTATTTAAAAACCAGTTGTTGGCATGACATGGGTTATGTTCTTCTCATATATGTTATGATGGTATGATACTAAACCCCTAACGGGAAGGATTGTGCCTGATATTCATATGATGAAGACATAATCTTTCAATCAGTTTAATTGAAGTCTGGAGCTGGCATGTCAGTTAACTGCTAGTAGTCTGTTGTTATTTATGTATTATTGTCATTTTGTTTATTTTCTTTGGTTACATCTTCTGACATCAGACTCGGACTTCTCTTGAACTGAATTTTAATGTGCGTATTGTTATGCGTTTACTTTTCTACATTGGCTAGAGGTATAGGGGGAGGGTTGAGATCTCATAAACATGTTTAACCCCGCCGCATTTTTGCGCCTGTCCCAAGTCAGGAGCCTCTAGCCTTTGTTAGTCTTGTATTATTTTTTATTTTAGTTTCTTGTGTACAATTTGGAGTTTAGTATGGCGTTCATTATCACTGAACTAGTATATATATTTGTTTAGGGGCCAGCTGAAGGACGCCTCCGGGTGCGGGAATTTCTCGCTGCATTGAAGACCTGTTGGTGACCTTCTGCTGTTGTCTGTTCTATGGTCGGGTTGTTGTCTCTTTGACACATTCCCCATTTCCATTCTCAATTTTAATTACTTGAGTTTCTCTCGTTGCTGAATAACTTATAAGGATTTATATATTCAACAGTTCACATTTTATGACATTTTTTTCTTCAGGCGAAGCAATAAAGACAAAGAAGGTAAAAGTACTGCTACTTTAAAATTTATTGCAGATTTAAAAAAAAAATACCAATCTAATTTTAATTTCCCAATATATCGATAGATGAGGCCGCCCTTAAAACAGACTTTTTCAACTGTCACCAAAAACATCCAGATATAATGTCCAATTATAACACTACAGAAAATCCCAAAATATAGGTATGAATAAAAGGATGTGAGGGCTTTACGGCAACGAGGCAGCAACCCAACTAAAACAGCTACTAGACATTCAATTGAAGAACAGCCTTAAAGACAAGACTAGTGTTTATAGAATATTTTTAGAGCTAATAAGGCTAATTTGACTAATTAAAAGACTATGGATTTTCTTGCCAAACATTATACAAACCATATGGAAGTTGTACAGAAAGAATCAATCACTGCGTACAGAACTGGTTTGCTATATATTAATAGAGATGTCCAACATTTTAGATATTTTCTAATGTTGTCATAAATTTCATTGTGGTACAAACACATAAACTACTTTTTGATTCTGATCAGAAGACAATTCAATTGAGTGATTATTGTTATATAATATATATCTAGCGTCTAAATTTTGTTGTTTGCCTTTAAATTATGTTTCATGAAAAAAATACACATTTCAGCCTAGAGAATGCAATAGTTCAAAGGAATGTGGCTTTAATCAATGCTGTGCCAATGATCAAGTAAAAGGACGGAAAAAAAGATCCATGCGTTTTGCTGGAATTTATAAACCATATGGCCAACGGAAATCAGGTACAACCTTTCTTACGTTCTTTTGTAAAATAACAAAATGTAATTGTGTTAGTTGCTTTATAACAGTACACGTTTAAACTCAATTTATGCAAATTTCCTTCCTTATATCTCACCTATTTTGATAAAAATAAGAGCAGTTATGGCAATTCAAACCAGAAAACAAACAGCCCTGACGGATAGCATCAACGTTAGGACAGGCACATAAAAGATGTGAGCACTCAACTCTACCCTAACGAAGACCAATGGAACAACATAACATAAGGCCAAACCTTTCAAATCAGTTAGAAATGGCTTGATTTATCAGATTGGCACGAAGCACAAAATAACAATTAAAATAAAGACAAAAGACAAAAGACACAAAGCACTAATCTGAGAGTACATGCTGTTGCTAAAAGCTAGTTCCAAGTCAATTACATCTAAAATAACTCATGTTCTCCCAGACTCAAGTATCAATCAGTACACAACCAACGGGTTTAGTATAACGAGGTCATAAAAGCATATTTCAAATTTCCGTTACGATCAGATTCGTTTGTGTTGGAAACCAGTTAATCAGTTTAATCGATAGATAATTAGACAGACGCCTCAGACGTCTGTAGAAAAATGCCCCAGGAGCCATTGAACCAAGGGTATATCCAAGACCATCTAAGGTGAATAACACATAATGAGTTGCAACTGAACTTAACATTTGTTTTTCTTTTAAATATATACCCTATACATTATTTTTTAAACATAATTAAAGCTGCGATACATATATTGTATTCACTTCATATAAAAATGAAAAAGGGACACATGTTTGACCCCTTTTCAACATAAGTCTCCGTATTCTTATATCAGTATGTTATATCTTATAGAATGTGCAGTGAGAAACCAAAATGCTAAAGAAGTCGTGTTCCTTGGTTGGTGTCCATGTATATATCCATTAAATTGTATTGGAACAGGAATAATTGAACCACCGTTTGGTGAAAAAGGTTAGCAACTTTGTAATATATTTGTATTGGGACAGGTTTTATCGATGTTCCTTTTGGTGAAAAGGGTGAGAAATTCTGTTATTTGTGTAGTATATCAGACGATTCGATTTTGGATGATTGCATTTTTACCTGACAGCTGTCATCACTTTTCTGCTCCAAAAGACATAAATGAAGAGACCAAATCGAAAAAAACATGAGACTTCAATATCCGATGATTGCATGCCACAATAAACTATGATTCGTTGTCATTAAATTATGACCCTCTGGTACAAATTCAAAATGACGTAAAACATGGATATATGTGTACATGGGGAAAAACGTGGTAAGCGTATACATATACCGGTATATCAAACCCAGTGATTGCATCAACCTCTACAATAAATATATATTTCAAATCTTGTTATTTTTCATGTATCTTAATATAAGGGAAAATGGTCAAAGTCAGACACTTCTTCCTAAGCATTCGCTCTTTTCTTCAGCTCATTGAACATATGACCATGACATGGACGTAAAAACAAATTTATCAATCAATCTATCAATCAATTGCAATATGTTAAGTATTTGTTTTCTCGTCTTTTAAAGAGATAGACCTAGGCTTAATTTCAGATAATGTTGAAATTTAAATTATCTAAATGGGCTTCTGGCTTTGCACATACACATCCAGAATAATTGTGGTTTTCATTACCAGAAATATATGGAAATTGAGGAATAGTATACAAGTATAGCCTTTGTATGAGGTAGATATGAGGTTATATCGACCTGGAAGAAGTATATCGACTGTAGATGAATAGAGCAGATATTTATTTGATTGGTTGTTATTATTGTGTCATAAAGGATTGAGGTTTCTAGATTTCAATTTATAGATATTCTAAAATTAAATGTGCAATATCTCGTTTCTGTCTGCCGTTTTCAGTCTACATTTGAACATACAGATAAATATGTGACTCATTCTGAAGAATCAAATTAGTTAGAAAATACAAAATAATACTATGAATGAATATTTCACCCAGATTAATATTTTGTTCAGTTAAAACTGATTCATTGACGTTTTTTATGGCCCATTCTGTATTACATTGGCAAATATATAAATAATATTGTTATTTTTTTTATTTCGTAGGGATATGCGGATATAGATAAAAAAAAAAATTAGAAGAATTGTTAACTTTGTTTTCGCGATCGTCAATGTTAATGAAAATCATTGTTATATACTCATTACGTATCTAAATATTTCAACATAAGCGTTCTTGTAATCCCCAATAGTATTACATACTGTAAATACCATGATGTGTTGTATTTGTTTGGATTCGTGTTTGTCAACTCCTTGTTTTCTTTGAAGGTTTGTGGACTGTTATTTGTCTTTTCTTCTTTTTCTCTTAGTCGTAACCCGACACATCAATGAGACAGAAACCAAAATCAAAAGACAAGTTGAGGCTAAACAACATAAGGCCTTTAATCATATAGACTTGTGATCATATCACATATTAAACCCTAACTCGAGACCTCTAGACAAGTTCCGAATGAATTCAACAGAAACTACCAACATCATGATATTATTACGTATCGACCTGTTAAAATACTTTTAACAGACAACAAAGACTAATAGTATTCTTTCTATATTAGTGAAATATTGATAAATGATGCAGACAATGAAAATAACACTTCATACATTTTTTGCGTCCGAAGCGCTATTATCGAGTTCCCTTCATCGAACACGCTCAAACACTACCATTTGAAAGTCAGGGATGTATAGATTTTTAGAGACGTAAGGAGCTATGTGACAAAAAAGGGACATAAAAAGAATAGCAAAATTCATCTAAGGTCAATTTTGCCTGAGGTAGTTCGACAAATGTTCGAACCTTAATTTTTTAATATTATTTTTTTTATTTAACAACGTAAAAGTCCACAATAAAAACCTAGGGTTCAAAGTGGTAAAGTAGAGGTCGTCCCTTCTAAAGTTTTACGGACGCCGTCACTGTTTAGTTAACCGTTATGGACTATCCCTGTCACAGATGACCATGGAAATGTTCCAATTGTCGTAACAACAATCCGTCTTCTTTTCCCCAATTATGACATCACCGAATGAGACTTGTCACCGAACGTGTACTTACCATGAATAACACGATGGGTAACACTAGTGGAGCAGGATCTGCTTACCCTTCTGGAGCACTTGAGATCACCCCTACATTTGGTGGAGTTCCTGTTTCTCATTCATTAGTTTTCTATGTAGTGATGTGTGAACTTTTTTTATTTTCGTCGTGTATCTTTTATTTTGACATAGCGTTATCAGCATATCTTGACTTACGAGTTTTAAATGTCCCTTTTTTATATATTCCGCCTCCTTTTTACCTTGCAAGGGCCTAAATATAAATGTGACAGTGGCGTAGGGGTAGACAGAAAAGTGTGTGTTGGTGGGGGAGACTTCTGAAAGTGACAAGCACATAAATCCTTTTCTATAGTCTAATTGTATAGATATTAGTAAGTGTCCTTTCATTTTTTATGTTGAATATTTTTTGGTAAAAAAGTGGGTTCACTTAAGAATAAAAATATTAAAAATTAACAATGTGCTTAATTGAAGTCTTTTGATTTATGTTCGAAACTTTAAAACTGCACAGTGTTTTTAATTGAAATGGATGAAGCAAGAGAAGGCGCCTTTACTTGTAGACAGAATCTACAGTTATTAATATCATCCGATAAATAACATATTTTGGGAGTATGCATTTGAATTTTATAGAAATGAAAGGAGGTGTTGGGTATATGTCACGCAGACAGCATAAACACAACGACAGGAAAACCAACAAACGCTTTATCTTTGTTCGATTTTGTATGGTATTTTTATTTAATGTGGTAAATCAACAAGATTCATACTTATTTTAATAGACTAAATTAAAATTTTGGCATTGCCTTTCTCGCTTCTGGATCAACTGAGAAACCAAAAATATGCTTTGATGGCTAGCTAATCAGTTCAAGAAAGAGAATGTATGATTAATGTGTATGAAGACAAAATATAAACACTCTGTCTTGCACAATTTTAAGTAACTAAATAATAAATTCATTAAACTCAGTAAACAAGAAAGCATAAATAAATGGATTTATAATACTCTCAATAATAAAAATTAATGCGCATGTCGACAATAAATGTCTCTTCACTGATGCTCGATGCAAAAAAGATTGAAAATCTAAAACTTTTTGAAAACTTGATGAGCGAATAAAACTAAAAAGAACAAAAAGTATAGCCAAAGCTGTCAAGGAATGTTCGATAAAACCATATATTAAGGTGATGTTCAAATCTCGTAAACTGATTAATAATAGACAAATTACAGTAACGAACATGAAACCCAAAAGGACAAATTATTCTGAACCAATCTTTGCTCTTGCTATTTATTGCTGCGCATTTTGTAAACATGCATCAAATACATTTTATTTCGTTTGACCTTTCCAAAAATTCGAAAGAGACCAATTTTCTACCACAAAACCACCGATGCTGTTAAAAAAATATGGATGTGTTGCATTCTTATAATTATGATATAAGACGTACCAAAGAATAATTTGTCGGGTATCCGTAACATTCAAGACCTTTTATAAAACATTTACGTTCCATTTGGTGATACATGTATAGCTTTTTGCATGTTTCGACACTTATACATTCTTTTTATTGACGAAACACACGTCTGGCGTAAACAAATTCATCCTGGTATCAATAATGAGTTTAATTATCAATTGAAAGTAGAAAAATGAAAAATAATATAATTTGTTATTTCCTTTTTCAGTTCCTTGGTTTACTTTTGTAAAAACAAAAAGGAAGAAGGTAACAATATGTTGTCTTTATGCGCTAGTGACAACACAAATAGCATTTCAGGAGTATGCAATTAATTGTAATATGAATTTAACAAGATATTTGTTAGTTTTTCAAACCTCTACCAAAGAGACAAAAATAATTGAAGTCAACATTCTGGCTTGTAATGCTTGCATAACAAGAGACTTAATCTATCGACGCATCTAGTCTCGCTCTTTTTGGAGTTCATGCCATTCCCTCAATTTTTGTTTGCACTTGATTTGTATCTTCTTTATATGGATTTTGTCGATTTTTCATTAGTAAAATAATCGGTGTTGACTAAACGACACCCATGCTATTTAGTATGACGTTTATAGAAAAAATATAGACCTCGGTCTTGTACAATGTTAACGAAGTAAGTCATTATCTTTTTGGGAAATTTAGTTTCCATATCAAAACGTAAATATATTGTTCAATTCTTGAAAAGGCGTTTGAAAGCTTCTTTAAACTCTGTATCCAAAAAAGCATAAATAAAGGGATTGATGATACTGTTAATGATAAATGTTCGATGAAACCATAAAACAATATGACTCTCTAGATCTGTTGGAGTCAAATTCGTCCTAAAATCTGGAATAGTTCCTTCCATAACAGCTACAACTCCTAACGGACAATAGCTTATTAAAGACACAAGTGTTATCACTATAAACATAAAGGTAATATTCCTCTTGACACGATTGTTTCTCTTTTGACATCGGTTGTGATAAACTTTAGTTTTTTTGGTAGGTTTGGCTTGAGAATATAAAGTATCGGGTGATGATTCGCGGCCGTTTGCTTGATTCTGCAAGACATATTGCTTTTTCTTTTTGAATGTCACTGACATTTCAGTTGATCCTCCTTCTTTCTTATCATCTATTGCTTCACTGAAAGATTCTCTATTCGTACTTTTTCCTTCAATTACCACAGAAACTATTTGGTTATCCGATGTAGTATGTACATTACTTGTTTTACTTGTGTCTGCATATATAGGTAAATGTGTCGGTTTATTGCTTCTAGTATGAATCAATATCTCCCACCCTATCATTCCATAGAGAATAAAAATGGAAAGAACGACGCAAAATATTATCACTGCAAAGGCAATAGAATATGCTTGTCCTTGTGTATAATCATGATGCTTTAATCGAGAGCATCGATTTCCAATTATATTGCCATCCTTTTCATATTTGTTTATACCATAGTTTACACCAAACGGCAAACAAAACCCAATACTGAACAAAACTGAAAAAACTATCATCAACCTTCGGAGCTGTAAACGCAATGCACAGTGCCTGCATATTTTCAAGTATCTCTGTATGCCGATACAAAGCAAAACACAAAAGGACATAGATGTAGTATATGAAGCGAAGATGTATCTGCATTTACACAGAATCACATTTTCAAAGTTTGTTTGCATTAAGTCCCAAATTATAGTTCCTAACGAACATAAAACGGATGCTATAACGTCAAAAACTGCCAAAATTGGAATAAAATATCTTTCATCAGAAGTTGTCTTCATCTGGTATTTATACACTACCAAAACCATTGAGTTTCCAACCACACCGATAACCATGTAGATAGAAGATATCACAATGTGAGGTGTTATATCTATTTGGAACGGCCAATCCCAGCCTCTAGGAACGTTAGAGCCATTTGAAAGATTCATTTGTTATGGAATATTTCTGATTGAAGTAGGTCACGTAAGAATATAAATATTTTTTCTCGAAGAAAATACATAAATTCTACGTTATGCTTTTAAACGATGATTTAAGCTGATTTTGCAAGTGTATAATTCAAGCTATATTTATACCTTAATATTTGTTTTAATCTAATTATTCATTGGTTGAATGTATATTAGTATTACTTTAACCTTCCTTATTTGAGAGAAAAGTCCAACAATCAGTCCAAAACTTCGTACATGTGTCAATGACATATAGTTAAACGTTGTAGGTACTACAGATATTTCATACTAGATTAATTCTATACCTTATAAACAGAAGTCATTGCGACCTTCAAATATGTCAAAATACGAAAAAAGTAAAGGAGAAGGTTCTGGAATGCTTTAATATGACCATTTTTTCTACCTTATATTTCGAAAAATTTAGTGGCGTTTGTTTTTGCGGTGAGGGTTGTATGCATACGCAGTCATGTTTTGTTTGAATGAGGACGTTATGTCTGATTACTCTTATAAAAAGAACATCAATTTTCCGGCACGTTAAAACCCTCTTGCAACAACTATGTGAGGTGTCCGTAGGTGGCCTGCTGTAAAGCAACATATCCTTTTTTCAGAAAAAGTCTTGATTTCACGGCCTTCATCCCGGTCCACCCACTTAGCAGAACCTACCTGTTGGAGTTATCGGAAATTTATCTTGTCCTCAATATGCATGAAATTGTTGTCATTATATGTTGAGCAAAGTACATACAATGACTAGATATGAAATAGATCCATAGGAATGATATTCTTG